AGGGTGCCACCTTGGTGGGTGAATAAGGTTAGAGCATGACAGCGCCTCTAATCTCCCTGTGAGGGGCATTTCAGGAGCTGCACGTGGGCAGCTTGGGGGAACGCGGGACACAGAAGATGGCTCCAGGAGGGCAGCTCGGCGCTCAAAGAGCAGAGGAGCTGGTCAAGCAGTGGCCTGGGGCAGCTGCATTGCCAGTCAGGACAAGCAATGGCTGGCGTCATTTTTCAGAAGCCCTCGGAGGAAGGGGAAAGGTCCCAGGCTTTGAGAGGCAAGAGGGGCCGCTAGCCGAGGTTCAGGGATGAGTGGTGTGCGGGCGAGATGTTTGCTTCGCTTTTCCTGCTTGAAGAGACAATCCTGTGGGTTCTTTGTCTGATGGCTTCAGAATGCGCTGGGAGGGGTTCCAGAGCAGCGTGGGGTAGGGGGCTTGGTGTAGTGGTGGAGACGGCACGTTCTCGAGGGAGCAAAACCCACCCCTGTCTGGCCACATGCCCAGGCTATGGAGTGTCCCCAGCACCTCTAAGGTATGACTGCATGATTGCTGACTGCAGGAGGGAGGCTTACGCTGCTTCCAGGCCCCAGCCTAGAAGGGTGGCAGAGGAAGCCCCAGGGAAGCTGCTGCCTCCTTACTCATAAACCCCCCGATCTCAAACAGCGAGCACCCTGTGGAGGGGCAGAATTTTCCTTCCGCGTCTACCCTCCCTCTTGGCTTCTCTCAAAAATTCCCGCGTCCATGGGGGAGCTCCTTGTCCTGGACTTCTTGTGCCCAACAGTAGACACGAGTCTAGTCTCTAGACGACTCAGAGATGTTCTTCTCTAGCGCGCGTGGTACGAAAAAGGGAAAGGACAGAATTTGGTGTCCACGGTGTAGTTAGTTGTCCCTGAGTCAGGGCTGACAGACATCCCCCTGCACTGACCCTCAAGTTTGAGAAGGCAAAGAAAGCCACTACCCGCTTGCTCCAGGAGCACCTTCCAGGACCAGAAGCGTGTGCGATAATCACACGCTCAAGAGGGGGCCCAGAGCGGAACGGGCCCCACTCTCTGAATTTAGAGTCGGGACTCACTGCTCCTCGTTCCTGTGAATTATTATTATTTTTTCCAATATTGTCCTCCCCGGGGCTTCATTTTCATCTCAGGTGTCATTTCTGGAGCCTCTGCTGTCGTCAGGTTGCTCCTAGGGCCGATGTAGCAAACTACTATCCCCCCCGGGGGCTTGAAACAACAGCGGTTTATTCTCTCACAGTTCTGGGCTCCCCAAGTCCGAAATCGAGGTGCCAGCATGAGGGTTGGCTCCTGCCAGCAGCGCGCAAAGTGACTCTTTGCCAGGCCTTTCTCCTAGCGTCAGGGAGCCGCCTGCACCTGTACCCCTCAGCGTGCTTTGTCTTGGAGGTTCATTGCTCTGATCATTCACCTTTACGTGTGCTCTCCTCTGTACGGGTCTGTGTGTCCCCACCTCTTCTTTGAAGGACCCCAGGTATTAGAGCAAGGGTCTACCCCAATCTAGTAGACCTCACCTTAACCAAGTGTCCTGGCAACACCCCACTTTCTCCAAAAGGTCACCTTCGAGATTCGGGGAGAATGCAAGTTTCAGGGAGGTGCCATTGAGCTCACGCCCGGCCCTCACACCTTCCTCCCATTCTGCAAGCCTCGTCTCAGTCCTTGTGCTAGAATCTTGATTTAGCAGGGTGCTGGCTTCCACACTCCCGAGACTTCCCACTGCCGAGAGAATAAAGTCCTATCTCTTCAGCTCAGTTTTAGAGGACGTGCCGCCATCTGGCCCCAGCCATGTTTTTTTCGTCGGGGTCCGGGCTCCCCACTCTCCTTACGCACAGCTCCTCCACCCAGGCGGGCAAGGCCGTCCCCCGCGTTACTCGGCCACGTGGTTCACGGCGCTCTTGATTCTCGATCCCGCTCTCCGTCTGTGGCTTTCCTCCTGGATTGCTCACGTCCTGCTCATGTCTCTTTCTCCTCCCACGAGAATGTTTCCAGCCAGCCCCGCGAGGTCCAAGGCTCGCCTCTGCTCACAGACCCACCCGACCGACCCCGCACTCGGCCTCACCCATCGGTCTGGAGCGAAGCCAACCGAATTGAAATGTCTAGGCAAGGACGAGCCCACGTGTCACCCTCCTTTGGGCTGTCGGATCTGCTGGGGTGTCTCAGGCTGACGAAGAGCCCCGAGCTGAGATGAAATGAGAGACAAGGAGAGGGTGGCTGCTGCTTTGCGAGGGAGGGCTGACGGGCTTCCTCAAAGGAAGAGCGCACTGGCAGAATCACAGGGCGAGAAGCGAGTCCTCAGGGCCGGCCGCTCAGTGTCGCCGAGCTGCGGGGTGGGGGGAACGCTGCAGGGGTATCTAGGGGAAGCCATTGTCCCCCATTCCCTCATGGACAGCTGGGCAGCAGCATGGCTGCTCAGAGGCGGAAGAGAAGCCCCAGGACAACGAATGGGGCTGATAGCAACATGTTTCATCATCTGCCTCGTTAGCATGCTCTGCAAACTTGGAAAGAACAAAAGGAAGGTCTTTGTTCTCAAGGTTATTATTAGTGCCCTCTGCTGGCTCCTCCTAGGGGATGGATCAGCCATGGGCAAGCGGCTCTTCAGCTCTCCTCAAGGCGTTGCGTGCCTTCCCGGACCCACGAGGACCTGGAAGCAGTTCCCTCTCCTTTCTCTTCCTCTCCTATTCCAATGCTGTTGCTTTGGTTTTGCCTCAGCTGCGGCAGTGCCCCCCAGGCATTGCCCTCTGGGACCAGGCAGTAGCTCAGCGGAGAAAGAAGAGTGACAAGGAAGCAGGGGTGGGAATGCGGGGCAGGTGTCAGGCTGAGCCCCCGGGCATAGGTCATTCTGTCTCAGGTACCAGAACAAGTTTCCAAGAGCGAAATCTTTGAAACCGGTGCCGTGCCTTGCAGGGTATCGGCGCTACTCCTTTACATAGAAGGCTTAGACTCTCAGACTAAAGAAAGCACCCGGCCAGGGACGTTCGCCTGCCTCTGTCTGTGGGCAGCTTGTAATTACAGCTCCGATACTGCCAGTTCGATGCCCATCTCCGTGCCTGCTTTCACCTGGCTAGATTTAGAAAACACCTATCTTGTAGAAATAGGCAGCCCTCAACTCCACTTTTTTTAGAAAAGTCTAGTTCCCCTTTCTGTCTGACATCTTAGCAAGGCTTCTGTGGCTGCTGCTGCTCTCCCGGCTTCGCGATGCTGCCCACAGACGACGGGAGGAAGGACCGCGAAGTTGGCCAAGAAGGACAAAGACCCAGTGAACAAACGCGGGGGCCAAGTCAAAAAGAAGTGACCCAAAGGCAAAGTTTGGGACAAGCTCAATAACTTAGTCTTGTTTGACAAAGCTCCATATGACACACTGTGTTAGTCAGTTTCCAACTCTAAGCTCGTAACTCCAGCTGTGGTCAGAGACCCTGAAGACTCACTGGTCTCTGAAGCCGTTGTTCCCTGGCCAAGGGCAGCCCTTGAGGAGCTCCTCAGTAGAGGACTAAACCAAACTCATCTCAAAGCACAGAGCTCAGGTAATTTACACCAGAAATACCAAGGGTGGAGATGCCCCAACAGGCGCAATCAACTGTCTACCTGAAAAAATAAAAGTATTAAACAAAAAAGAAAAAAAAAAAAAGTTTCTGAGACATTCTGTCCGCAATGGACTCCAGTTTGCCTCCTGGATGTGGGAGCAGCTTGGCCATTTCGGCAGTCAATATTCAGTATGTGAGGAGACATTTGGTTAGGTTTCCTGTATCAGCAAGTCTCTGTGCAACCTAATTAGTTCTAGGTCCTAATAGGGCAATTTTTCAAATGCAAAAGAGAAAAAAAAAACAAACAGAAACGACTTGAGCTCACATTTGCTCTGTCCTTCTGCGTAAAGAACGTACGTGAGTTTGAGGTGTCATTTTGAGAATCAGGAAAGGGGGGAGGCCCAGAGCAAAGGATGCAGTGTTCACAATTCTGGTCTCTTAAGCAGTGATTATTATTATTTTTTTTTCTCCAATAGCCTCTCTTATTAGAATTTTCCATCCACCTCTATTAAGAGAACAGAGATGCTTTTTAACACCAAGTAGAACGTGAACAAATCTTTCAACGGTTCAGTGTCCTGGCTGTGACCCGGAATTAGTCATTAGATTAAAAAAAAAAAAACACAAACCCAAACCCATGCTCAGGTGGGCTCCATGAAGAGTCTGATGCTGTGGGTCCCACGTCACTGGTGGGAGCCGATGTGGCTGGCGCTGTCACTCTGCTTGTCATTTCCTGCTTGCACAGAGAAAGGCCAGGAGAGCCCAACGCCAGTCTTCACGCTGGAAATACGAAGGATCCCAGGCACTTGCTTCTGTGTTTCTTTTTCCAACTAGACGATGAATTCTTTGAGGGAAAGGACGATGTCCATTTGGGCTTTGTGACCTCAGGGACCGGCTTGATTACTGGCACATGAGAACGCTCCGTAAAAGAGGTGTTCGTTTGTTTATTTATTTTTTTTGAAAGTCGCTTGAAAGCAACAAGGCCCTTCGTAATGTATGTGTGGGACATGGCACTTCCGTTTTTCTTTAGAGCCTCAAGATACTTGATAGAAGATTGTGCCAGAACTGGGATTCTGATTCCACTAGTGGTTCTTGTCCCTGGGGCTCTGTGACATAGAGGAGATGAATCACTGATGAGAAGCCTGAACCCAGAGGAACACTGTGATTGAGTGCACCGGGCAGAGGGTAAGACTCATTTCTGATGGCTGCTGTAACAAATGATCCTCTCCGAATGGGTTAAAACAGCACAGATCTGTTATCTTAGGGCTCTGGAGGCCAAAAGTTCCAAATGAATCTCACTGGGCTGAAATCAAAAGTGTTGATGGGGTTGGCAAGTGGCATGGTGGTTAAAGGCGCTGGACTCCCACATAGCCAACCACGGTTCAAGTCTCGGACCTGGTGGCTTCCTTTCTCACTTCCTCTCTCTCTCTCTGTCGCTCTCTGATCAAACTGCAAAATAATAATGATAATAATAATAAAGTTAAATCATTATAAAAAAAATTTTACCAAAAAAAAAAAAAAGTGTTGACAAGGCTGTGTTCCTTTGGGAGGCTGGAAGGGGAAGATCGTTTCCTCATCTTGTCCCGTTTCTAGAGGCCACCTGCACCCTTTGGTCATGGCTTCTTCCTCCCATCTTCAAAGCCACCATCTTCAAATCTGTTTCCCACCTTGACGCCACTTCTCTCACTTAGAAGGTGCCATGATCACAGTGGGCTCTCCTGAGTAACTCAGGCTCATCTCCCCATGGCCAGGTTAACTGGTTAGCAGCCTAAACTCTGCCTGCACCTTGAAGGCCCCCTCGCCATGTAATGTAGCCTGTGCACAAGTTCTGGGGGTGGGACATGGACATTCTTGGGGAGAGAGAGAGATCACCCCCGTGGGGGGGCCACCACGGGGTAATCATGGAGTCCCACATCCTCATTCTAAACTCCAGGACACTTGGGCTCAGGGAGTTTATGTGAATTTCAGCCGTTTCCTCTGCAGGAGGGAAAACCCCTTCTTGAGCCGGGCTAATCTGTCCGTGAAGCCCTGAGTAGGACTCAGCCAGAGGCCGGTGGTTCCCTCTTCCTCTAGTTCTTCCTCCTCACTGTGCCGCATGGCTTTTCCTCTATCTAGGGCTGTGTCCGGTGGGCGCACTCTCCCTCAACCTGACTTAAGGGACGGTGGTAATTGCATGGTGTCAGGAAGTGAATCCTACCCATCCATTAGAGACTGACTGTTTTGGCAGAAGCATGAGTTTTTAGAAATGTGGCCGCCAGGTGCATAGGTGGAGATGCCAAGCTCAGAGAGCCCAGGGGTCCCGAGAGTCTGGGATCCTGGAACTTCCCCCTTGAGAAGTCCATGAAAAGGAGCTGAAGAGTGAGCCCCAACTGGCTGGTTTGCAGCTGACAGCGACATTTCTGTTTGGCCAGCCTCTCTGGGTTTCTCAGTTTGCACACCCTGTTGGTCCAGAACTGGCCCCCACATACAAGAGAGTTTGGGCTGCCAGGTGTCCCCTGCGGAGATGCTGGTGACTCTGGTACAGAGGCCAAATGCAAGGTGGCAGATGGTCTAGTCAACCCAAGAGGTCTCCTTGCAAAGTCAGGACTAAAGAAGACACAGGAAGACTTAGCAGGGGAGACTTCCGCTTGAAAAGAGTGACCCATGACTGGAGGGAGCAGATGCCTAGTGGAGGAAGCTGTGTCTCATTCATAGTCACCTCCTCCCAAGTCATGTCTTCCTGCGCATCTACCCAGTCCTCCACCTTCGCTGCTGTAACTAGAGCCGGAAAGTGACAAGAGCTTGCTGAGCATGGCTTCCGACTACAAACCCCAGGGCCCAAGATCACATTACTTAGAAGGTGAATTCTGCAGAACTCGGAAATGAAGCCAGTCTGGGGAGGAAACAAGGCCTTGTAAGAGGCAGTCGTGGTACCACCAAGGGCGGCAGCCCTCCGCTCTGGAGGAGAATCGCGAGGAACGGCAGCGTGCTGTTGAGTCACAGAAAAGTCTCCTCGGGATAAGACTACAGAGATGTTCCCAGCAGGTGAACAAGAAAACCCTGACTCCCTAGGGTGAACAACAAAAGCAAAGCAAGGTGTCCACCGTGGAGATGAGATCCCAGGTTGTCAGATGAGGACGTGGGAGGATTGGGAGTCCCTTGAGAGTGAGCTCTTTTTCTATTCAGTGAACATCTTTGCATGACATTCCACTTTTTTTTTTTTAGAGAGAGATTTTTGCTATAGGGCACATGTGCTCACCAGAGAGGCAGACAGAAAGTGAGAAATGACCCATCCCCCTGGGGAGATGGCCACACCACAATCCCTTCTCCTCCATTCTCCTCTTGGAATTTTGGGCACGCACACACATGCGTTCAGTGTGAGTTTTAAGCCTCTGGATCTGGAACTCGAACCGTGGCTGACTACATGGGAGTCCGGTGGGGTAACCATTACGCCATCTGCTGGTCCCCTTTGCATGGTGTTTCTGACCAACAGCTAATGTTCTCAGAGAGGCAAAGCTAAAGACCCTGACAGGGTGGACCAGCAGGTGGCACAGAGGTTGAGGTGGTTGGAGCCCACATGACTAACTTTGTGGTTTGAATCCCGGGCCCGGCAACTTGAAAATCATGCTGGACTCATGCCCAGGAACCCAAGAGAAGAATGGAGGAGAGGTTATTTTGCTGTGGCCATCCCTCCCAGTGGGTGGCAGGGATGGTGATTTCTAATTTTGCCTTTCTCTCTCTGTCTCTTCAATGAGTACATGTGCCCTATAGCAAACTGAAAAACAAAACCTAAAACACCCTGACAGGGCAAAGGGACCTGGTAGAAAGGTGTGTATGGATAAACTTGGAGGAACGTGCTAAAAGAGCCTAGGAGTTAGGACCAGCAGATGGAGTAATGGTTATGTCACTGAACTCCCATGTAGTCAACCATGGCTCGAGTCCCAGACCTGGAAGCTTAAAACTCATGCTGGGCATGTGTGCGTGCATGCCCCAAATCCCAAGAGGAGAATGGAGGAGAAGGGATTGTGGTGTGGCCATCCCCACTAAGGGGCGGGGGTAATTTCTTGCTCTCTCTCCCTCCCTCTGGCCAGTGCACATTCCCTATAGCAAAAAAAAAAAAAAAACTCTCTTAAAAAAAAAATTAAAAGCCCAGGGATTTAGTTGAAGCTGAGGACCTTTGCTCTGGTGGTTACGGTGGGGGTGTGAGATGGAGGGTGAGTGTGCAGGTTGGGAGAGAAAGAGGAAGAAATCTAGGCTGTTGTATTTCTGAAGAGACTCAGTATCCACGAAGAATGGGGGTATTTGCCCAGGGAACACGTCTTCTGTGGGAATGACACCCAGAAGGGTAGTGATGGCACAAAGCATTCACTGCGCTGTGGAGATGGTGTCTCCACCCCCCCACAGCAGTGCTTTAACCCCGGCGGGGCCGGTAGGCAAAGGGCCTCATCTGCTTTGTCTATACCTACAGCTGCAGCCAAGGAGGCAGGACACCTGCCTCTCCCAAGGACGAGTCAATTCAGAAGCAGCAGCCGTCCCAGGAAGCTTCCAGTTCCTTTCTACCAGCACCTTCGGAGCTGCACCCTCAAGGCTGCGCCATCGATGCTGTAAGAGGTGGGAAGGGGGCCATGAAGGAAGGCATGACCGCCCGCTGGGATGCAGCCAGACTGGATGTGACTCGCCATGTGAGGCACCAGTGCGCCCACCCCTGACCCCAGTCTCTCTTTTGGAGACTGGGAAGCAGCTGCCAGGTAACTTGGGCCCTGGGCTCTCCTGCCAGGAGTTCCCGGGGTTGGGAAGTGCTCAAGGCTGAGATTTTTCTTTTCGGAATTCAGCGTTCAGCTGAACAAGGTGAAATGACCCATGACACCTCTTTCTTCTTCTCTTGGGGCTCTCGACAGCTTCTGAGATGCACAGACTGGAATAAGAGAACCTAGTAGAAATGGAAAGAGAAGCAAGAGGTAAGTTCCTTGGGTCTGGAACAAGGCTGGGGAGCAGCTTCTAGGACCTCTTTCTGGAAGTCCCGGGGACCCCATGGCCTAAGGACTTCATCTACATTGGGCCCTGGCGGCCTCTGTGTGTGACTGCAGGGGGGAGAAAGTGAAGACTAGATCTTGAGTGTACAGAGTCCTGCAGGCTCTGGAGTGAAGAGAACTCCCCAAAAGTACCTGGCCAGAGTTAGACATTTCTGGGTGCTGGAGAATCCCTGGCTGAGAAATCCAAGCAGTCGCATTGCATTCTCAAGTTATTGGAAACCAAGAACTTAAGAAATTGGATCCACTTGTCTTAGCTTGACCTGCTATAACAAATACCACAGAGGAGGAAGCGTATCAGCAACTGAAATGTATTTCTCACCGTTCTGTAGGCTGGGAGTCTGAGATCAGGGTGCCAACACGGTTGGGTTCCAACGAGGGCTACTTTGTCTATACCTACAGCTGCAGACAAAGAGACAGGATTCTTTGTTTCATCCTCTCATGTCCAAGAGAGAAGGAACTCCCTTTTATAAGGGCACTAATTCCATTCATGAGGGCTTTACCTTTCTGACCTAATTACCTAACAAAGGCCCCACTGCCTATTATCAGCATACTGAGGGGATCAGCAGTTAGCGTAACGGCTATGTTGCTGGACTCTCCCACGTAGTCGACCGCGGTTCGCGTCCCAGACCCGGTGGCTTAAAACTCACGCCAGGCACATGTGCGTGCATGCCCAGGTTCCCGAGAGGAGAATGGGGAAGAAGGGATTGCTGTGTGGCCATCCCCCCTGGGGGGTGATTTCTCGCTTTCTGTCTCTCTGTCTCTCTCTGTCTGTCTGATGACCGCACACACCCTATAGCAAAAGCCTCTCCAAAACAAACAAACAAACAAACAAGCATACTGGGGATTAATGCATTTTGGGGTGACAAACCTCCAGACTGTGGCACCATTTCTGGAATTCTGTTTGAAACTGCCATTTTGGTTTCTATTTTTAACCCAGTTCGCACAGGAGTTTGGTAATGGCAGTTAGGTAATGTGTTTGAAAATGTATTATGACCAGACCAGACCACCATCATCATTTTAAAATTACAGAAGCTCAGGGCCAGCAGGTAGCATGGTGGTTAAGGTGCTGGACTCTGACACGGCAGAATCCATGGTTTGAGTACCAGACCCGGCAGCTTGAAAATCATGCCAGTGGGTGTATGTGCATGCCCAAAACCCTGAGGGAAGAGTAGAAGAGAAGGGATTGTGGCATGGCCATCCTCCTTGGGGAGCGATTTCTCCCTTTCCCTCTCTCTGCCTCTCTCCTCTTCTCTCTCTGGCAAGCACATGTATCCTGTGGCAAACAAAAACTACTACCGATGATGATGATAAGAATTTGGTGCATTTGCTGAGTTATTTTTGGTTGTTTCTAGGTCCAGAGCCCAGGCAAACGTCATTGGAAAGTAGCCAGCATGGAGTTACCGCTGTCCCTCCTTTTGGTGTTCTCGTATTGTCTGGATCTGGGAAGCCGGCATTAAAAAGAAAAAAAAAAAAAAATCAAGGTTTACAAGCTGTAATGGATGTTTTTCTCTTTATTTCGAAGTCCACTTTAGGCCCCCTTCCTTCCTTGCTGACCCTGAAGAGTGTGGTGGGAAAGAGGTCAAGGCACCCACCTGCTCTGGCCTGTGGTCTTTATCTTCCTTGCAAGCCATATGATTTTAGTCAAGACACTCAATATCTGCTAGTGGACAGTAATAAAGAACGTCGCAGCGATCTCACTGGTTCCTCCTTCCAGTCGACGGGATGGCGAATGCACGAGTATTTTGTAAAGAGAGTGCCAAGTGCCAAATAGGCTTCCATGACAAGTAGAACTCGCTGTCACATAATCTGAAGGTCAGAATGTCAATGAACAAGGCAATTTCTATCTTTTTATTCCTTGGGACAAATGCTATGTCGCGTTTGTATCTCTTATGTTTTACTGTGTCAGTATTGTGATCCTTGAGGGATTAGAACTGATAAGGAAACTTTCATTTATAGGAAACCTTTTTTTTTTTTTTTTAAAGATTTTTGCTATAGGGGGCATGCGCTCTCCAGAGACACCGGGACAGAGACAGAAAGGGAGAAATCACCCCCCCACCCCGGGGGGTGGGGGGAATGGCCACGCGGCAATCTCATCTCCTCCATTCTCTTCTCTGGATTTTGGGCACGCATGCACACATGCCCAGTATGTTTCAAGCCTCCAGGTCCGGGACTTGATCTGTGATCTACTACATGTGAGTAGAGTGACGTAATCATTATGCCATCTGCTGGTCCCTGGTGAATTTGCCTTTAACGGAAACTCCAAACCTCTCTACTCTTGTGAGAAGATGTACAGACTAGATTTACTTTTACCAAGGGAATCAGAACACCTTAGATTTGCAGTTTGCTGAGCACCTGGGCATTCTTACTGTATAAGATCCATGCAAATTTCTGTGAGGAAGGAAGGAGGGAGGCAGTTTGCCAAGGCCTTCTTTCTTTTTCTTAATTGGAAAAGGAAGAGCCACAGAGAAGGGAATCACTTGCAGAACGATGCTTACCTAGGTAGTTAACTAATGAGTGACAGAACCAGGCCTAGAATTCAGTTATGCTACCTCCACAGGAGACATAAAGGCAATTGAATCACCTTAGTGGGAAATCTTGTTAATTTTCTCTGTTTCAATTATTGAAAAAAATGTCCCGGGGTAAAATATCAGGCCCCAGATAGTAGATCATATTAGGACTCAGTTTGCAAAGTGTTCCTCGAGGAAACATCTTGTTGCACAATCAGTATCAGGTTAGATGGAAGTCTTGGGACGTGAAAATGATGGGTTGGGGCCAGCAGGTGGCATGGTGGCTACGGGTACTGGACTCTCACATGGCTGACCACAGTTCGAGTCCTGGACCTGGTGGCTTGCTTTCTTAGCACCCTCCCCCCCATCCCTCTCTGGTTAAATAAAAATAAATAAATAAATAAAGTTAAATAAACTAATTATTTAAGAAAGAAAATAAGGGTGAAGTCCACAAACGATTAGGAGAAAGTTAGGAAAAAACTCTGAATCTGTCATGGTTGGGTAAAAATATCCACAAGGCTGTCAGCAGCTCTCTTTTCTAGTTGGTAACTCAGGAGATAGAAAATAGACACTAGAGGTTTGCGATTTGTAGCTCTGGTATGAGGAAAGTTCAAATCCCTCATAGTCTGAGCCAGACCACAGAGAAGCTGGCAATGGAGTGACGCATCTTAGAAGGGCTCTCTGTGCCAGTCTGGCAAGTTGACCAAAGGCCAAGACCCTAGACTTGTGCTCTGCTAGGGAGATGGTTACCAGTGCATTTTGGATGGCAGGTTGCAATTAAACTGTGATCAATTAGCAGTTAAGAATCAGAGGGGCCAGCTGATGGTATTGTGGTCAAGGCCCTGGACTCCCATGTGGTTGACCATGGTTTGAGTCCCAGACCAGGCAGCTAGAAAATCACCCCTGGCATGTGTACGTGTGTGCTCAAAATCCCAAGAGGAGAATGGAGGTGGGATTTTAGCATGGCCATCTTCCTTGAGGGGGGTGATTTCTCACTTTCTGTCTCTCTCTCTGGCAAGCACATGTACCCTATAGCAAAAGTCTCTCTTAAAAAAAAAAAAAAATTCCTATCAATGTCTTCCTGAAATATCTTCTAATAGTTCTAAAATGTACTTTTTGTTACTTAAATCCTTGATCTATCTTGAATTGATTTTTATATATGTCATCAGATTCAAATTTCTTTTTTCTCTTTCTTTCTTTTTTTAAACTAGGTCTCGGTCTTAACAGTTAGCGTAATGGCTACGTTGCTGAACTCCCATGTCGACCACGGTTTGAGTCCCAGACCCGGCGGCTTAAACTCACGCTGGGCGCGTGTGCGTGCGTGCCCAAGATCCCGAGAGGAGAATGGAGGAGAAGGGATTGCAGCGTGGCCATTCCCCCCTGGGGGGTGATTTCTCGCTTTCTGTCTCTCCGTCTCTCTTTGTCTTTCTGGCGAGTGCATACCTCCTATAGCTAAAACCTCTCCAAAAAAAAAGTTGCACTATGTCACCATCCCCCTGCCTTGGTCTCTCAAGTAGCTGGGTCTCTAGGTACACGTCACCAAACCCTGCTTGTTCAGCCAGGGTTTTGATGTGTTGCTCAGGCCAGCCCAGGGGGCTTGATCCTCTTGCATCAGCCTCTTCAAGTCACTGGGATTACAATCTCATTCCCTCACATCTGGCCTATAGGTTGGACTGGGAATCGAACCCGGGTCTCCCATGTAGTCCCAGCCTGTGGAGCATAGACGCTTAGCAACACACACCGCTATGGCTGGGCCGATTTCACATTTGGCTATACGAAGCCCATTTTTTTATCCAGTTCTTTTTACCCAGTGATCTCTGTCATCACTGATCTGCGGAGCCACCTCTGTCAGGTTTCAAAGTCACTTGTAAGGACGATAGGGCTCTGGGTTTTCTCTTCATTCCACGGGCAATGTTATTTCTCCTCAAACCAGTTCCATGTAATATTTATTAGCATAACTTTTTAATAAGTCCTCCCTCTCTGTTTTTCTTCAGAAATGCTTTGGCAGTCCTATTCTTCATCGATCCTTCTTAAATGATCAATAATAATAAACAAATGTTTTCATGAAACCAGAAATCTGTTGGAATTTCAATGGGAATGAAAATGAACCTATAGATCAATTCGGGGAATGCTGACACCTTTATAATATTAAGTCTAACTATTCATGAACATAATATATTCCTCCATTAACTGAGGTCCTTTCAAATACCTCTTAATACATTTATCTCATGTCTCCCATAGAGAAAGCAATCCCAGGAGAACTGTTGATCTGTCCCAAGGTGAAGGCAGATAAATATTGGTTATTTTTATCAGTGGGGATACTAAAGGAGGCCAAACATAAATCTCTTACAGTAAAGAACATGGTGCCAGGTGGGCATGAGGGCAGTGTGAGATTTGGGCTGGGCACAGCTGGGAAGCAAGCTTGTGTTAATTGCTGAGCGATCTTAGACAATTACACATCCTCAGCTCTTAGGCTTTTAAACGGGTGGGACAGGTATTACAGGGACTAGTACAAAGGAGAAGGAATCCTTTTTCTATTAAGCTGGTTGTAATTGCCTTAAGTCCTTGCTGGGCTTCAGTTTTAATAGAGTATTGAGAAAATTTAGGTGACGGTATAGAAGAATCAGTCTGAACACTTAAAAACTCTGTACCGATTACTTTGTGTTTGTAGAGTCTGTGGCCCTTAGGGATTCTGAGACTATGGCTCCTTCTTCAGTTGTTTCTTTGAATTCTTTCTTTTGAAAAAATTGCCGGAGGGCTCATGAGAGAGCGCGAGAAAAAGAGAGAGAGAGAGAGAGAACCCACAATGGGATGTGGTCATATCACAAGCCTTCTCCCCCCATTTATCCATCCTGTCTGGGCATGCATGCACGTGTGCTCAGAGTGTTTTTTTTTAAGTCTCTGGGCTTAAAATTTGAAGTGCAGTTGGCCACGTGGGATCTGGCTTCCTAGACATGGACTCTAACCACTGTATTATGGGACTGGCCCTTCAGTTGTCTCTTGAATCATACATTGAGTAGTATTTCTCTTTTTTTTTTTCTTTTTTTACCACGTGACCATGCCCCACTGGGAAGTGGTATCTTCCTCTCACTCTCTTTTTTAATTTGCCAAAGGGTGTGTGCACTTGCTGGAAAGAGACAAAGAAAAAAGGGAAAGTGAGAAATTAGCCCGATGGAAGATGAGCATACTGCCGTCTCTCCTCCTGTAGTCCTTTCTCGGGATTTGGGGTATGCACACGCACGTGTCTGGTGTGTGCCTTCAGTTAACGAGTCCGGGACTCAAATTGCACAGCCAACGATGTGAGATCCAGCTGTCTTAGCCACCATGCCACTAGCTGGCCTTGTATCAGTATTTTGATAGACGTACCAGCTCTAACTTCTAAGACTTCTAAAAATAACCCTCGTGCAGTACATTTTAGTTGGCAATTCCACTTGCAAAGTTGATCCCTTTCTATTAAATGTGCAGAAGTTATGTCACAAAGAAAGAAATGTTCTCCCGCTAATGGTCCCAGGGTAGCTCTCACAGGTTGAAACATGGAAAGGGACTTCGGATTATTAGAAATTCTCAATAGTTGAGTGGTTTGGGTGCTCTGAGGGAGTCTGATGTTCTGAAAAAGTAGAATTAATGGTAGGTGGAATGGTACTCACCAACAAGAAAGCTGAACTGTAGTTCTTACAGGCTTGGGAGTTCAGGTGAAAGACAGGAAGGTGGAGGTTTGGAATATTTCTCTCAGCTGCAAAGACTTTGGACAGTTGTTTTCTGTTTCTTATTCAGGCGTGATGCTGGTTTTTCCAATACCCCTTTACCTGCAGTATCTCTAAGCGTCCTCATCCAGAGGCTCTTGGTTCTCAGAGAGCACAGAATTTTATTTTTTTCAGTTTTTGTTTTGGGGACCAATTGTTTAATTGGAACAGCAGGAAGTTGTTTTCATTTCGGGCTTGTTTATTTTCTAGGGCTTTTTGAAAATGTTAAGCCACATGTTGGAGATTTTCTAAATTGGCCATTTCCCTTTCCAATTTATTTCTCTAAGTTTCCTATTTCCGATGTGAGTCTATTTACACAAAGAGAGGACAAAGCTCCTTTTCCTTCAGCTACTGGGTCTGTCTCAGGTATTGTGTAAAATTTCCCCAAAGTCTTGTTTAAAGGTCTCCTATTGCATCATCTTTGTTTTATTTACAGGTTTGGACTCTTGTCCAATCTTCTCTTAAGAGAAAGACTTCGACAATGGCCATATGTATGTAGTTCATTTTTTAATTTTCTTGTCCACTGAAGGCCATTATTTTATCCAGTGTGCAGTTGGTTCATTTTAATTCTTCATTGGCTTCTCCTATTCTTTTCCTTTTAACCAATTCCCCCACTGAGGGACTTAAAATTAAGGGATTTAGGGGATCAGCAGATGGCGTAATGTTTACATTGCTGGACTCTCATGTAGTCAACAATGGTTTAAGTCCCAGACCTGGTGGCTCCAAACTCACCCCGGGAGCATGTGCATATGTCTAAAATCCCAAGA